CACAAACATACACAAATGAATATATACAAAATGCGTGTTTCATTATGAGGGATTATATATAAGGGTGTTTCATTAAGACGGATCAAAGTCAGCAATTAATAAATCAGTGTTAGTGGTGAAAATTAATTTATTTCTCTATTGGATCATGTTATTTAAGTCATGGCAATTATGTGTGTGTTATAATGTCCTTTAAATCTTAACGAAAAAGAAAATAATCATATAATCATTAGACGCTTAAACTTAAACTTAATTCGCATTTGAAATCGGTCATAGATAGGCTATAGAACAAGATCTGGCCTGCTATTTATCCATAGCTAGGAGGAGAAGAAAAGTATCCATAACATTCCCAAGGTTATTAGCACGTAAGTGAATGTAATGGTTTCGAATGGAATTCGAATTCAGCTCTCCGATTCCTCAATCCGAGCCGCTAACCATTACTCCACCTATGATTAAAAATAATATGATTAAATATATTGACAGTCACCATTCAGTGTTCATTCCTAAGTACACGCTGTTTACGCTTAAAATGCTTTGTGTTTGATATTGTACATATTTTCACCATAAATACAGCAAATTCTAAACAATACAAAGTGTGTTTCATTAAGACGGATCAAAATCAGGAGTAATTAAATCAGTGTCATTGGTGAAAATTTATGTTATTAAAGTCATAGCAGTTATGTGTGAAATGTAATATCACCCAAATATCTGCCAAGGTTTCGGCGGCACACCTCAACTCGATGGTTACAATTTTTGATGACGTCTCTTCATAGTTTTTCCTCGATCTCAACAATATACATTATCTCATCTTTCAGCTGTTGAATTGTTGTTGGCTTATTGGCATAGACCTTTTGGGATGACCCCAAAGGAAGAAATCTAAAGGCGTCAAGTTGCATGACTGTGGTGGCCAATTGACTTCGTTGTTTCGAGAGATGAAGCGATCTGGAAACTTCTCATTCAAATTCTGTTTGAACGTTCATTTTCCTAATAGGCTTCGATAACTTTAACACATTGTTTGATTGTTAATCTTTCCATGGTTGAAATTGCCAAAGACTTAAGTGGTTAAATCTGAAAGAAAAAGAAAACATATGATTAGGGGCTTAAACTTAATTCGCATTAAGTTACTGGGACACCTTTAATATGAGTCGTTGTTTTCGACGCATGAGGATGACACATCTTAGTTCTTAAAACAGAACTACTCACACATAGGGTTTGTTAATTTAGAGCCTTTTACCTAGTAACCATCCAGAGACAGAGATGCAATTTTGCACTTATATTTAACCCATAGCTGAAGGGATACGAAAAGATGGATTCATACCTTTTCAATTAGTATTTGCGCATAAGGGAATGCATTAAACTCAACTGAAGTTAGTGATAATATATATATATATATATATATATATATATATATATATATATATATATATCATTTATATACACACACAGACTGTCTCGCTGTATTACAGAACTTCAAGCCGGGATCGAAACTCGACGGATTTGATATCAGTCAGAGATCATCCTCAGAGGCCATCAGCGCACAGCAGCGAGAAAGGGAAATTTTATCGTTTTCTGTACCAAATACGCCACCGGCTAAAAGAACTCAATTCTCATTTGAAGAGTAATGCATTCATAGCAGCTGCCGCAGTTTTTTATTAACTTTACCTTTGATACGATAAAGAACACGTAGCAAAATACATCTTATTCTAACATGTTTCACTTTATTAAAGCTTCGTCAAAGATCAAGTTAGAAATAATAAAAATGATGAAAAGCAAAGAGACACAGATCAAGAGAATGATGTGTTTGGATATTTCTTATTGCTTAGATATGTGTCACGTGTAATCAAGTAACAGATAATATTCAAATATATATGGCAAGCATTCTCGACACTAAAGTGTCTAAAAGTTAGTCCGGTGAAATAGGTTGTTTGATTAGATACGTGTCACGTGTAAGGAAATAACAGATAATATTCAAATATGTGTAAGCAAATATTCTGGATGCTAACGTGTGCAAAAGTTCGTGAGACACTGCAGGACTCTTTGAAAAATTTGGCTTGGTTTGAATTTTCATTAAAGTAATTGCAGTGCATATTTTGATTTTTATGTATTCGTAAAATATAAGTTAGATTCATGAATAATGGATCTGTCGAAAAATGGTGATGCAATGTAGTTTTTTTTTTAAACACTTGTTAATAATTGGTAATATTGCTATGAATATACTTTCATAATATTTTCATTTTAAAGGGTTATGTTCTTTTTTGATAAAGCTTGTGTTCCTGGTCTTTAGGTCACGTGAAGTCTCCCCAACGAACCACGTATTACGGATTGAGAATTCGTTTTAAGTTTACTGGCAATATTGGAGGCTAGGATTATGAATTTTGCATTTTCTTGGAAGTATTTGTTTCAGTTCATGGATTTTGTGAGATTTTTTCTCTTGTTTAAGATGAAATGTTATGGTTAGTTTGAATGTGTTCTCAATATAATCCTCTTCTTCACTAATGTATTCACGACGACATATCCTATAATTATTCCAGAGTTTATTTTATCAAATTGTCTAGTTTGGAATTCAAACGTAACACGACAACACACCGACGAGTCCTTTAACCGTTACGCTAAACTAACATGTCTATGTATATCTATACCTGGATCAAATGATATTTTTCATCCCACTCAAATCAAGATATAATGTTTGCTAATTGTGAAATAATGTAAGAAGAATAGAGGAAGGGTTGAATAGAATAAAAGAATAGAAGAATAAAAGAGAGCTAAAATAGTAGAATAAAAGAATTGAATAGAAATATAAATGAATAGAATAGAAGGCTAGAATAGAATAATAAAAGAATAGAAAATTAGAAGAATAAAAGAATAGACGAATAGAAGAATAAAAGAATAGAAAACAAATAAAGCCTAGGAGAAGAATAAAAGAATAGAAGAAAAATAAGCCTAGGAGAAGAATAAAAGAATAGAAGAATAGACGAATAGAACAATAAAAGAATAGAAGAATAGAATAAAAGTATAGAAGAATAGAAGAATAAAAATTAATAAGCCAGTATATAACGATTGATAATCCATTTAAATTTAAAAATTAAACTTGAATGGAACAGAAGCTAAGGGAAGAGAGAGCCATAATCGAGAAGTGCGAGAAAATACACTGTTGGCATTGAACTTACAGCTCCATCTTACCATTTCTGCTGTAGCATCATGAGACCTTGCTGCAAATCTGATAATGATATTATGTTCATAAAGGCAAGTTTTTTTTTTAATAATTTCAACCCAAGCATGGCAGGAATACCACTGGTACGCAGGACATTACAGAAAATGAACATGAAAGAAAAGAATGATTATGGAGCGGAGGGTGTGAAGAAAGGATAAAATCTGAACGGGGTTTAAGACAACAGAAGATGGCGATTGACGTTGCACTTAATTTTTTTAAGTTTGTCGTTATCGGGGATACAAGAAATCTGAAGGAATTTCCACAAGCGGAAAATGCGAAAAAAATTCGTAGATAAGTGGTGCTTGCATTTAACTTATTCAACAGTAAAAGGGTGGGACGTAGATGCCAATCTATTAGCACGCTTAAATTAATGTAGTGGGGGTACCTGGATAAAAAAATCACGTCAGAGCAGTTGCTATAAATATATTTATAGAAAAATAGAAGGGAGCCACGTCATGTCTTTGAGAATGTGACTGATTCGAGAAGTGAAGATGTCAAGTCAGGATCAATTACATTACAGATCTTTCTTCTTTTTGTCAAGAACCACTAGATGTGTAGCATGTGTACCAGACCAGATATAGTAACAATATTCAATGTAAGGACAAATGGTAGATTTGTAAATGTGACAGATTGACTCTGAAGGAACAAAAAAAAAAAAACTCATAGGAATTTTTTTCAGACTGGTTAGTGCGTTATATTCTTCCATGAAATACCTGTATATTTCTTCATCTCATTTCTCCATCTCATGTGTCCTGGGTGTTCTACTGACTTTTCACTCCCTTGAGCTGAAAACATTTTTTTTCTTTTCTTCCGCTTCTATCTTTTCTACTTCCATCAAACCCTTATTTTTATCGCTTTATCAATTCTATGTTATCTCCACTCATGGCATGTTCTTTGATCCATGTTGACGTCTTTTTACCTTGAGGTTATCTTAAACGTCATTCTTTACTTTGATCCTGGTTTATTTCTGTGCTTTCTAGCAAATTTGTTCATTTATACAATTTGCAACTCTCTTTCCTGACAGACATTTTATATTCATTTTTAAGTTTTAAACATGGTGTTTTTTCATTTTATCTATGTTTCGTTACGTTTTATGCATCCATTTATTAATCGTGTGCATTGTAGATTTTACAAGAACACGGATGAACAAATGGTTAATTATTTATAGAATTATCTTCAGTCTCTCTTCTGTTTTGGGATTTTTTTTAGAAACTAACAATTACTAATATAACACTATCTATGGCCCTGGCTGAATTTCTCCAATCGTATCTCAATTCCATAGAGAATCAAGAAACTAAAGAATATCTTTATCGGTTATAATGCTTTGGATTAAAAATCAATATCTATGTCATTTTTTTAAATACATACTAAAAACTTCATAATCTCATACGGTTAACAAGTTCAAATAGCAATAAACAGACAAAATAAAAATAGAATATAGATCAAAGAGTTGGACATTATTATGGAAGTCTTAAAAAGGAGGATGCTACGTACACCAGGCTATTCATTGATATATTCCTTTTCTACGGTTTATCAACACTTGCAGATTATATAAAGCCAGAAAATATTTTTACATCGTAAAAAATTTTTTTAGATAAAAATTGTTTAGATGACACAAGGCTTACTAATTAATCCATAGCTGGGAACAGAAGAGGTAGATTCATATTTTTCCAAAAGATTTTGGTCGGAAGTGAATATTAATGAATCCTAATGAAATTGTAAATCGGCTCTGTGACTGAAAATTCCGAGCCAATATATATTACGCCACCCGGGCATTCAAATTTATATTTTTATTCCCAAGGCGTCACCCATCTAAGTACTGATTAGGCTGGACGTTGCTTTACTTCGATGATCGCACGGGAGCCGGCGTTTTAACGTATTATGGTCGTAAGCGCCGCCTATTGAGAGTAGCACTAAATGTTACCATGAAAAAAAAAGTATGAATAATGAAAAGAGATTTCGGCACAAAACAAAGATTATTGAAAAAAACTGTGAAAGCTGGGTACATTTTACTGGCCATTGCTGGAGAAGTGAAAAAGAAATTGTACATCATCTTGTACCAAGGTTTGTTAAATACTTTCGTTGATTGGTTGATTTTGTTTATCGGCACCTCTATAGGTTATTAAATACCGAAATCTAAATATTTTGAATACAACTTTATGCCTTCAACTAAATATATTTTGAACGCGGTCGTATGCTTTCAGCTATAGATAAAATGTATTGTTGGTCATTTTGCCATAGAATGTATTGTTTGTAGTCCTACTAAATATATATTGCTGAACATTTTGCTTTTAAATTGTGTTTTTGGTAATTTACCTATAAATATATATTGTTGGTAATTATTTAAATAGAAAACAGTATTGATGGTATTTTAACCATAAATATGTATTTTTATACTTTCATAGTTTTTAGTTAGCAGATCCACTATTTGCTCATAAATGAGACCCTAAGATGTGATACAACCCCAGGTTAGGGTAGACCTTGGAACAACAATAGTGTGAATGTGAAAAATTAAATCTCCCCGCAAAAAGCCGTTGCTGTTTATCCGTCTATCTTATGAGGACTACCTTAAACATGTTAACCTTGTGGAACCGTTAATAAAGATTTTATATCTCAGAAGAACCCTTGCATAACAAATATTATTGTTGTGACCACGTAAATGGTTAAGTAATAACAAAAACAAGGTTTGCAGATATATCGTATATTTAACAGTAAGTACATCAGAAGAGTATTACACGGCTAGTGAGAGTGTGTCGAATGAACTAGCGCTCAATCTATTCATTGTTAATATTTAACAGCACCCCCCACGCGGGATGTATGTGGTACAAGGCCGAGTTTACCGTAGGTTCGGCTAAAAATAAACAGAGACTTCGACAGCTGAACAGTCTACATCACTGTTATATTTAACGCTCCCCCGCCCCCACGGTTGTCGTATGTGACACAAGGCCGGTTTATTGTGGGTTCTCTAAGCCCGTAGGCTCGACCAAAATTATTCCTGCAGAACCCGCATAAAAGGGCCCGTGTCTGTTTAATTCACCGGAGGAAAATTTGCCCTTCCGCAAAGTCTCGTCCAGGTACATGTCTGCCAAAGGCAGAGAGTGCGAGGGTAACTAACAGTCTATATCGCTGTTAATATTTAACAGGCCCTCACGAGGGATGGATGTGTCACAAGGCAGAGTTTACTATGGGTTTTTTCCGAGCCCGTAGGTTAAGCAGAAAATATTCCCTTAGAACCTGCATAAACGGGTTCAGGGCCTGTCTAAATCGCCAGACGAAGCAGATATTATAATATAAATTTTAAGCAAATAATAAGTGACAAAGAAAATGATTAAGTAATAACAAACACCAGGTTTTCAAATAGAGTGCTGTTCGATAAAAGTGACTCACCAGATTTTTTTACTAAAAATAATTTTTGTCTATTGTTTTTGGGGTCAAACTAATTTTTAATCTTACTAATATAAAGACCCCTTCCTGACCACTTAGGAAAAAAACACAGAGTGAACGTAATGGCTACAGAGTGAACGTAATGGAAAAGACTGGATATTGGGTGGGGGATTGTAGAAGTGATAAAAGGAAAAAACGGGGATTAAGGCTACAGAAGATGTCGATTGACATCACATTTAAATTTTCGCGTCACCATTGACAATAGATCGTCAGAGCAGATGCCATAAAAATATTTATAAAAAAGACAGATGGAAGCCACATTTCGTCGGTAAGAAGGGACTGATGTCGGGACCATAAGTCAGGACATATGACACTGCATACCCGTCTTTGGATTTTATCGTGAATTGTAAATTGTAGCTGTATGCGTGTGTGTGTGTGTGTGTGTGTGTGTGTGTGTGTCAAAATATATAGAAAATAGGAAAGAATTCGTTAGGTAAATAATCCAAAGTCCTTTAGTATTTTTTTATTACTTTCAAAAAAGAGTGCTCGATACAAAAGCAGAGCCTAAATATACTTATTTATTTAAAATATGATTCCTTTGCAAAGGAATCAAATTTTAAATAATTACTTATATATATATATATATATATATATATATATATATAGTTAGATAGATACAGATAGATGAATAGATAGATAAACAGTAAATAGATAAGAACAAACTAAGATAGTTAAGAATAGATTAATATAGACATATAAGAAAAGAAAGGCGCTCTGAAAGATTAAAACATATTGATTGATAGATAGATACGAATAATATAGATAGATAGACAAATATAGAAATAAGAAAAAATAAGATACATAGAAAAGGAGATAGTAAAATAGAAAGATAAGAAAGACATATATATATATATATATATATATATATATATACAGAGATTAAACACGCAGATAGATAGATAGATAGATAGATAGATAGATAGATAGATAGATAGATAGCATCACCTGTAGAAATGGATTAAATGTAGCCTTTATAGATAATATCAATCTCAGTGTACATATTTTTGTGTATACACTAAATAGTGCAAGACTATAGAAAATTCAATAGCGCATAGAACAGTCACACACTTAAACGTTACGTACGGGAATGCAACGCTACTCACAACAGATTGTTACACGGACAGAGAAGCAGTTTTTCTTTATTTTTTTATAATATAGATAAAAGTCAGCTGTTACTGCTAAGTAATTAGAGCTGAAGAATTTTATAGATTTTAATCATGCTCTTCTCAATTAAATTTGAAACCTCTCTCCAATAAAATATGAATTGTACGTATTGTGCACACTATTTACATTATTCGGAGTATTGTCCTCATCTATGTCGCCATATGTATCACAACATTTCGGTCGCTGTACGCTCCGACCTTCTTCAGGTGGTTGGAATGTGTTAATTCCCTTCTCCAGATCTCCTGTCACTGGATCTAACCGACGCTTTTATATACTGTGCCATGTGTCATTGAGGACTTGGGGAGGGGAATTAACAGGAGATATAACTGATAACTGACATCCATTAAACGTGGAGCTAGAACAGTCTACCCCAGTGAGCGAAATAAATAGTTCAGTTCAACATTCCAACCACCTGAAGAAGGCCGGAGCGTACAACGGCCGAAGCGACAAAGATAAGGACAATAGTCCGAATAATGTAAATAGTATATATACCAAAATTGCAAGACAAATATCTTGAGGCACTAAAGAATAAATTTATTCAATTAAATCGCCATTGTCTTAAACAATGGCTTCCATTCTACTTCGGAATCTCCGGAAATTCTTTTGGGCGTCGTCCTTGTTTAAGTTGGCGAATGCTGCCGTAATCTTTTCCTTCAGTTCAATTTTGGTGTTACAAAGAGTTTTGTTGTTCTTTCACTCAACTGTGCCCCCCACGCATAATAATCAAGAGGGTTACACTCTGGGGAGTTAGTTGGTCAGATGTAAGGGGTAATGTCGTCGCACAAATTGTCTAACAACTTTGACTAGCGTCTCCTGCTTGTATAGCCTAGTACAGATTCCTGTTGCATGACATAGGGTTTTCCAGCAGGTACCCTCTTGACCCAGGTCAGCATTACCACTTTAGTTCACTTGATCTTGGGCTTCGTGTTGAGCTTAAGGCCCTCACCAACAAATTCCGGTGTTCTTTCTTATTAGAAAGATCAGAGTGAGTTTTCCTACCTACCGTAATCACCATTAGACTCATTCAACTCTTTCTAACTCCTCTTTACTGTCCTCCGGTGTGCATGGCAAGTAGTAGAGTAATGCTTCTCTTTTTTTTCTCAAAGAGGTTGCCCAACAAACATAGTTTGTAGCGGACCGTGGGTTTATGTTTTGTTAAATTAGGAACACATGTGTGACTCCTGATAGGAAAAAGTCCACTACAAAAATATGGCGATCCCAACTTGAATCCAACCTAAGAAATGTAAAGAAAACAAACAATACCGATATATATGTACAAACAAGTATATGTATTAAACAACAAAATTTTTAATGGACAATGACCACAACATGTGTGTTTGTGCGTGAACGTAAAGAGATCGTGTTTTGATGAATGTTCGTAAGTACGTATGTACATGTATGTGTGTGTGTTTGTATGTGTGTGTGTGTGTGTTTGTGTTTCATGGCGTTTTCCCAGAAGTGGGCAAAACGCAAATCTCCGCGAGAGATTCATTTTTTTAAAAATGTATCCGCTGAAAGTCAAAGGAAAAAAAAAAAAGAATGAGAGAACTAAGTATAGTGTTAGCCTCCCCTAGTAGACAATTTGGACAAATAGGTAATTTTGTTGAAACTAGGTTGCTTTTTATACTGAATTGTATCCTTCCAATGAAAATCGGGTGAGTATTCTAAACGGCTGAATTACGAGCAACCAAGCAACAATATTTTTTTTTTATTGTATCGAATCCCGACACTCCGAATTTTAATATTCAACGAAAAACCGAGTAGAATTTTCCTACAAGTCCATCAAATATATTCAGTATATGGAAATAGTAAATACCAAACCCTTCAAATATCTCATTGTAGGGATCAGTTATAAAAAAAATTAGTATAGGTAATAAGTAATTTTAAATGATTCGGACTATTGTCCTCATCTTTGTCGGCATATTTATTACAACGTTTCGGCCTTTGTACGCTCCGGCTTTCTTCAGGTCGTTGGAATGTCGAACGGAACCCTTTATTTCGCTCTCTGGGGTAGACTGTTCTAGTTCCACTTGCCATGACTAATGGATGTCAGTTATCAGTTATCTCCTGTTAATTTCCCTCTGAAAGTTCTCCACTGCCTTAGCCAGGTATTGAACTCACATTCTCTGGGTCCTGTCACTGGATCTAATAACGCCTTTATCCATTTTGCCATGTGTCCTTGAGGAAACGTTGTAATAAATATGGCGACAAAGATGAGGACATTAGTCCGAATAATATAAATATATACATAATACTTCATCTCAGAAATATAGACAGATAGTG